AAGTTTTCTTGCAAATATGTCACGTAATGATAGGATTTGAGAGCAATAAGTCACGCAAATACGGATATATTTCTAGGGAGTTTTACTAAAACACCCAAAATGGGGGCTGAAATTATAAAAAAAACCCAACACCCAAAACACTTTATAAACACACCCAAAACTCATCATTACACACACTCAAAACCCATTTATAAACACACCCAAAAAATATACAATTGTTGATTTTGGGGTTGATTTTGGGTGTGTTTCTATGTTTAAATAGTATTTGAATTTTTTTATAAATACATGTTTAGGATTGAGTTTATTTATAAATTTGTAATATTTCTATTTGAGAAAGAGAAAAAATTATATCGGTTGCATGGAAGTTTCCCAAACACTAAAATCGTAACAGCCTAGCAAAAGCCCAAGGTCAACTCACCTAGAAGTTGGTAACCTATTAATTGGGCGCGTCTTTGTTTGAGTCCAAATTTGGAATGAAAAGAAAATCAGAAACCACGTCCCTGTTTCACACCCCTTTCCTCACAACCTTCCTCCAGATACCGTTATAAAAGCATGTTCCCCCACCACCCTAATTCTCATCACAATAACATTAACACAAGCAATTCACCAAACACCTAACGTCCACTTTTCATAACCATGGCAACAACGTCCCGGAAGCTAGAAATCAGAGTCATATCCGCCGAGAACTTGCAATTAGATCGAAAACCCATCAAGAAAAACGCCTTTGCGACCGTCCGCGCCGAAAAGGACAGCCAGTTTCGCACCACGGACATGGACACCGAAGGCGGCGCCTACCCCAAATGGAACGAGAAGCTTGTGCTCGACTTGCCATTCCATGCGAGGTCCTTCACGGTGGAGATTCAATGCAAGACTTCTTACGGAGTCAGGAAGATCGGAACGGCAAAGATTCCGGTGTCGGATTTCATGGGCGGGTTTGTGCCTGAGGGCTACCTGCATTTTTTGAGTTACAGACTGAGAGATAACAGGGGAGAGAGAAACGGGATTGTTAATATTTCGGTGAGGATGCAGGTGCCAGAGTTGAAAGCATGTGCTGCGACGTCGTCTCATTCGAGCATGGGATTTCCCGTGGGAGATAGCAGCTTTGGCGGCGGTAGCGTGGCGACTGGAGTTCCCGTTTGGTACGGGGCGTATCAGAAAAATTATTGAGGAAAAAAGGTTTGACTAGTTGGTTTATTTGTCACAAATCACCAAAAAATTTGTGCGTAAATATTGGAGTAAACTTTGTCGAACTACAAACTTCCAATGTTCATGAAAATTTATGCAACAATTTAATTCATTGTTACAACTTACATTCCCTGATTTTTTATGTTATCCATGCGCTTAAACAATCTTTGCATCGTCTTCTGAATGACATCCACACTAATTTTTGCATTGTCAATCAATTGGCGTTCATATTTTCAGATGACGGGTAGGTCAAAAATTTAATTGCTCGATGAGGAATTGTTTACCGCATTTATTCTCCACATGTATCATAATATTTTTTTTTTTTCTAACTTGCAATCTCTTTCAATTATGCGAAAGAGATTTTTGCCTACCTTATGAGAAACACTTGCGTGAAATAAAAATAACGTTGTTTCGCTATTCCTGGTCAATCATGTTATACCACGCGTGATAACTTTTACACGTGATAATCTATAATTGACGGAGATAGCCTCGGTTACACACAAGTTTTCCTGCTATCGTATGTAAACCCAGAGCTACGTGGAACAATATCATCTTCTCCTGCGGCCTTAAACTAGCCTACAGAGCTTGCTCACCATGGGCACGTCATTAATCAAGCAAGACCATGTTCTATGACCTATCAATCATTAGAGTATTATGATAATAATCAAGAATAATATGAGTTATCTCCGTATAGTATATGCGTCAAATTTGAATTATGCATCCCTTCCAAATAAAAAAAGAAAAGAACTATTGCAAATGAATTAGAGTAATAGTCCAACATTATATTGTATTATACACGACGAAACACTCTGGTAAACTAGTCAATAAAATATCTCCTGCCGTCTAATCTTGAAAATTGGCATGGAAATGTCCACCCATTTTTCTTTCTCTAACGCTTAAAAAACACTTTTTTTGTTGGAAAGGACAACACATTTACAATGTGGCATAACGTCATAGTCAATCTGTGAGCAAATATTTTTGTTACCAATCACAACACAACACATGAAAAAGAATATTATCCCTTAAATTAATTAATTGAATTAATTTATTTGATCAATTAATTAATATGAATAATATCTTAATTATAAGATATTATCTTTATTTAATCAGATAATATCATTAATTCAAATATTATCCTAATAAGGAGATATAATCAAGTTAGACTCAATTTCTATGAATTTGGGTAGAGAATAAATTCCTCTTAATAAGAGTTTATTCTCTAGGAAAACCAAGTCCCGAGATTCCTATAAATAGATGACTTCATTCATCATTCAAAGTACTTCAAAAAATCTACATCTAGACCTACATCTAAAACCCAAGAAAAATACCCATGCGATTATTTGCCCAAACTGTCAAGATGAGATTCATCAAAACAAAAAGTACGCAAAAAATACTAGTAAACAATGAGGTTTGAGAGAACCAACATGCAGTGGCGGAGCCACTCCTAGACCTGGAGTGGCCCTGGCCCCCCCATATTTTTATCCCTTCTCTATTATATTATATATAATATATAGAATTTGTAATAAATAATTTAATAATTAAGTTAAAATTTTCTCTAAAACAAATTAGACATGACTCAATTAGAAATATTTAGTTCTAAATATGTAATTATTGAATACTTATGTGTGTTGTATACTTGTATTTTTAACTTCGGCCCCCTCAATTTTACAATTCTAGCTCCGCCCCTGCAACATGCATTCCAACTGCGACAGAATATTTTAACCAAGAAAGTTGTGGTCGCACTTCTTCACTTTACCCCTAATGCTATAAAAACCAATTACGTGAAACTTAGGGAAACTGTGGGGTTAACGTCGTTCAAACCGCAGCCACACGGTCGAATATGGCAGACCACATTTGACTTAATTATCCAATGACTTTGTGAACGTCATGCTTTGTGTCACTGTTAACTACAGAAGAGAGGGAGAGCTTTCGTAGAAGCACAAGTGGTTCAGCATCAACACGTGACAATGACATTCACCCATATGTATAGCAGCGACTGCAACTAATACAATTCTTTATCGAGATCTGAAAATATTACCCAACTCAGCTAAATCAATTGATTTTATGCCTACTACCAGATGATACTTGAAATTGGTCGCCAAGAATCTCAATCCTTCACATGATGATACTATATTTTGTTTTTCAGCGTTACAACAATTTTCCAAACACACGACCAAATCCTTACGGTTACCCAATTCTTCTTTATGTTTTCTGTTTCGTGTGGCCAATGTTGCGGCCCATCGTTTAGCTCGATTCACTTTATTCATAACTGAGAGCCTGAGACTACCATTTGGTGTGGGACCCTCCTTTATAAAAGAAAAAATTAAAAAAATTAAAAGAAGAAGAGGGAGACGAGGATAGGGAGTGAAGTCAAATATAAGAAGAATGAGAAGAAAAAAAATAGAAAGAGAGAGACTCATGAAGACAAGACAAACAAAGAGATTGAGAGAGAAGAAAAAGAAAAGATTGAAACTATGTATTATATATCTATATATACATATATTTCTTATAATAATTTTTTAATATCTTCTATTTGGTTTGGTTAAATCGTGGTTTTGAATTGCAAACCGTACACCGAACTATATATTTCAGTTTGGTTTGGGTTTAAACCGATGACCAAAAAAAATTGAAAAAAAACCAAACCAACCCAACCCATCGATTTGGTTTGAGCGGTTTGGCCAAGTTTCGGGTCCAAATGCCCAAACCTAGTTAAAAGTAACAACTAAACCTCAAATATTCATTCCACATCAACTTTGAAAATTCAGTTGGAGTTATGTGAGATGTTATTTCTAACCGCTAAATGTCTATTTGGTACTTTTGACATATCAGTTGGAAATGTTTTAACGACACAGGTAGGGGTAGGTATGGGGTGGGGATCTGGGCCGAGGATCTAAGGGATGGGAGGCTGGTTTTGTCTGGGTCAAGGAGGTGGGGTGGGGATCTGGGGTCGAGGAGGGGGATCTGAGTTGAAGAGTACATTCACCAGATTTCAAACACAGCGACAGCGACAAAACTCGACCCACGTTTGTTCGAAGAGAGAGAAAGGGAATAGAGACAGAGGAATGGATGGGTTGTGGACATGAGAGTGTTTGTTTCGTTGCTGGGTGGATTGGGTTCTGCAAATTATTCACCTTTTTTCGTTAGTGGTGGTGATCAATTAATAAATGCTTCTGAACATATATTTTGCCATGAGCATTACTGTTTTAATTTTTTCTTGATGTTGTAGTGATCTTGTTGATGAAGTAATAGCTTACCAAATGAGTTGAAAGAGAGGGGGTGGGTGTTCGTGGTTGGTATATGGTGGTGGTGGAGTGGAAGGGGTGGTGGCTGGTTGGGGATGGGGTAGGAGGGGGTTGGTTAGGTTTTTTTTCAATTGCTTTTTAATTGATGTTTTGGTAATTGAGAGAGAGGGGATGACAGAGAAAGAGTTGGAGAGAGTTTTTTTTAATAAATATTTATCATGTTTTATAAATGTATTTATTATTTTTAAATAATTTGTGGGTCTCTTTATTACCATGTCATGAGTTAACAAAGTTCTTGACGGCTGATTGACGGTTAATATGAAAATAGAAGGAAATTGAACTTTATGTACGAAGTTAATAAGAAAAAAGTTTAGGTAGCAAAGTCAAAATTTTAGAAAACTTCCACGCAATAAAGTGAAATTTACCCAAAAACTAAAAAATAAAAGAATCAGGCGCGTCTTTGTTTGAGTCCAAATTTGGAATTTTAAGAAACTCAGAAACCACGTCCCTGTTTCACATTCCTTTCCTCACAACCTTCCTCCAAACCCCCTTATAAAAGCATTGCCCCACCACACTATTTCTCATCACAATAACCATTAACACAAGCAATTCACCAAACACCTAACGTCCACTTTTCATAACCATGGCAGCAACGTCCCGGAAGCTAGAAATCACGGTCATATCCGCCGAGAACTTGCAATTAGATCGAAAACCCATCAAGAAAAACGCCTCTGCGACCGTCCGCGCCCAAAATGAGAGCCAGTTTCGCACCACGGACATGGACACCGAAGGCGGCGCCTACCCCAAGTGGAACGAGAAGCTTGTGCTCGACTTGCCAATGCAGGCGAGGTCCTTGACGGTGGAGGTTCAATGCAAGACTTCTTACGGAGTCAGGACGATCGGAACGGCGAAGATTCCGGTGTCGGATTTCATGGGCGACTATGTGCCTGAGGGCTACCTGCATTTTTTGAGTTACAGACTGAGAGACCGCAGGGGAGAGAGGAACGGGATTGTGAATATTTCGGTGAGGATGAAGGTGCCGGAGTTGAAAGCATGTGCTACGACGTTGTCTCATTCGAGCATGGGATTTCCGGTGGGAGATAGCAGCTTTGGCGGCAGTGGCGTGGCGACTGGAATTCCGGTTCGGTGCGGGGCGTATCCGAGAAATTATTGAAGAAAAAGATTGGTTTACTTGTCACAAATCACAAATTTTTGTTTGTAAATACTGGAGTAAACTTTGTCCAACTACGAACTCACAATGTTCATGAAATTTTATGCAACAATTTTATTCATTTTTACATTACCTGATTGGATTATACTCATGCTTAACCAATCTTTATATTATCGGTCAAATGACATTCATACTAATCTTTCTATTGTCGGTGAACTGACATTCATCGGCAATACTAAAACACATTCATTGGCAATGCTAAAATTTAGTTAGCTGAATGAGGAATCGTGGAATTGTTTATCACATTTATTATGCACATGTATCATATAATTTCTTTTTCTTTTCTTTATTTTTAATGAAAGAAGATTCAAACTTAGAATCTCTGTTAATTATGTGAAAGAGATGTTTTGCCTAACCTAAGTGAAAAACCAGAGCTACATGGAAAACTATCATCTCCTTCCGCCGGCTTTAACCAGCCCACAGAGCTTGCTCACCATGTGCACATCACCAATCAAGGAAGACCATGTTCTGTGACCTATCAATCACTTTCATCTGAAAGTATAGTTTTTATTTATCTATGTAGCTTTAAACTATTCTAAGTTATTAGAAGATATCTCAAATTTGAATTTCGCTCTATTTTCCGATTAAGAAAATATAAGAAACAGTTGCAAATGAATTAAAAGTATACAAATTTATAAATAAACCCAACATCATATTGTATTAAACACTATGGTAAACCAGTCAATACAAATCTTCTGTAGTATAATCTTGTAAATTGGCGTAGAATTGTCCACATTTTTCTCTCTTTCTCAAGGAGATTTGAGAAAACCAACATGCATTCCTAATGTGATGTGATAGCATATTTTAACCATGAAAGTTGTGGGAGAACCTTCACTTTTTCCCTAAGGAAACTGTAGTCATTGAAATATGACCATCTGACCTCTCCTTCCAATTCCCCCAACTCTCATAATCCATATGAATAACTCTTTCTCACAAATATCTTATTATTTTCTCATTTAAATCTCAAATTTTCTCTTGTTGATTCATAAGTAAAAAAGAAATTATAAATGAACTTGCATGCTAATTAGTAACTATCTTACATCTATAGTTACAATTCTTACATCAACCCTCTCACTAACATAGCATGCTTATTAGTAACTATCTCAACCAACCTAATTGACTAGTTTGTAATCTATACATGCAGTTTCTCTTGCTGCCCTACTTTTGGTTTATCCAGCATACGTAGCTGCTCTTGGTACTCCTTAGCTTTGATGTTGCATTATTTTGCTCTTGATGTCGAAAAAAACATTGAGAATGGCGTGTCTGCAGGGGAATATGTGAAGTGTACTCATTAGTGAGCTGTATGAGAGAGATCAGTAAGTTTCATTGTGTAGTTATGCTCCAGAAATGACTCCAAAGAGCAGTATGAGAGTTATACTGACCAGTTGTTTTCAGATAAGTTTTTGAACCATGTAGGCACATTATATACATATATGAATCTCACTGGTCGAGTTCAACTTAAAGATTGAATCTCTATATCCGACAGTATTTATCAAGTATGATACTACCTTTAGGTATTCATATTGTATATTAGGACAAGCCAAAAAATATCTAAATAAATAGCAAATGAAATTTGTGAAATTCTAACCTCCTGCCCATCATTAACATCTTCCAAGTCATCTTCAATGAGAATGGCTTGCAAAAAATTAACCACATGCATTTGTATTCTAGCCAAAGCTTGTTGTCGCAGTAGGCAATGACAACACATTAATCCTTCCATTTAACTTCTCAAAGAAGTATGTATGTATGGCATTACTGGTCTCAATGTGGCATTACAGCCCAGAGCAACTGATTGTTAACTTTCTACTTGTGGACCATGACCAGGTATCCCACATTGAGACCAATAATACCACACAGACATACTTCTTTGAGCAATTCAATGGAAGGACTAATGTCTTAAGAGTTGTCATTGACTACGGTCGGCAGCCGGCTCTGGCTAGAATACAAATTCATGGGGTTAATTTTTTTCAAGTTATTCTCATTTTAAATGACTTGAAAGATGTTAATCATGAACAAGAGGTTAGAATTTCACAAATTTCATTTGCTATTTATTTAGATATTTTTTGGCTTGTCATAATATACAATATGAATACCTATATGTAGTAGTATCATACTTGAGAAATATTCTCGGTTATAGAGGTTCAATCTTCAAGTTGGCCTGGACCAGTGAGATTTTCCCATTGACAAGCTTCCTCGCAGCAGGGGCAGATGGTTTTTTCCTGAAGGGCATCACCAATCAAAGCCTTCAATCTAAACTGCATGTATAGATTAGAAACTAGTCAATTAGGTTGGTTGAGACAGTTACTAATGAGCATGCTCTGTTAGTGAGAGGTTGATGTAAGAATTGTAACTATTGATAGCAAGGAACTGCAAGTACAGATAAGAAATTGTAACCCATGAAACCAAATTTACAGAAGTTTCCTTGATGCCTGTTACTTTATGTGAGATGGTGAAGGGGTTTGAAAGAAGTATTGGTGGCAATACTTCATATATTATGTCACAATTAATGATAAAACCTGAAGAACTTCACATATTAGAGGGCAATAAAGAGAACATATTTAAAAAAAAATGCTACACATCTTAAAACTTAAAAGATACTTTGCCCAGGTACAAACCAACACAGATTATGTCACAAATAATGATAATCATGTTCACTATGCAGTCATAACATCCAGACATCTAACTTTCAGTCCGATGCGCAACGATTGATCATTTCCAATCATTAAGGATTTGTTCTTATCAAAAGCAAAAAAATTTACATTTACTTGAGCAGAAAGCCTACGATAGTTTTGCTTTTCTAACACAGAAGTTACACATCCAAATTATGATGGACCTCGCAAATTTTCATCTGAAGTAAGTTTGTTTGAGCCCCCATCTCCATTTTGATCAATTTCCAGCCATGCTCTGTTAACCTTACACTAGCATTATACACAGAGTGTAAATAAGAACAAACTTTCGGAACTTGTATTTTATTTTTTCTGCAAAACAAGCTTGCTCACATGCCCCATTCCATACAACAAAATTTGAAAGAGAGATAGACAGAAAGGAAAGTATTTTCTGGCAAGACAAACAGAACCAACTTTAAAAGGAGCAATTTTTTTTATGGTTTCATAAGAAATGGAGTTAGAATCAATTAATCAGCTTTTTCCTGAGAAAATACTCAGAAAGTGATAGAAAAATAAGAGCGAGAAGATGATTAAGTTACCTGCTGGTGGGATGAGAAGAGGATTTCGGGTTCCATGGGAAATGGAGGGCTTTGCGAGGCGGAGGCCGGAGTATCCTTTGGCTGTGATGACGGTGGCGGAGAGATTAAGATAAGGAGCGTGATTCGGGTCCATTGTCTCCCTCCTTGTCTGCGATCAATTTTATGTTTATACCTCGTAACATCTGTGCCCAATTGAGATGTCCCCTGTCTTTTGATTGGTGGTCTGTATTTGGATGCTATTTCAATGATCATTTCACCTTTTCGACCAAAAAAAAAATAGATGTCCCCTGTCGGTCCCTCGGCTATTCTCTTGCGATCTGTACTTTTATAAAATTACTTAACTCTTAATATTCAGAGTTGGTAATATTTAAAGAGTATAGCCGACCGGCTGTACTGTTAAAATATTTTAAAATATTTACGGCTAAACTATTAAAATATTCGAAAATATTTAAAACGCATAGCCGTGCGGAGATACTCTTTAAATATATTAGAATATTTTAATACTATAGCCGCGCGGCTATACTCTTTAAATAGCAGAAATGACCATTTTAGGGCTGTGATTGAGGCCAACTAGTTATTGTTGTCGACCGAAGAGCAATCGATTTCAGGCCAGGTTTCGAGGATGGAAATTTTGAATCATCGAAGTTAGGAACGCCCTGCAGCCTCATTTTATATTGCCGATGAGGATTGCCTATATTTTTTTGATTCAGAGGTATGCATTGACTTGTAACTTGTGTTATGTGATTATGATGCTGGGGCTATTTTGCATAGTTTTGTAACTTGCCAGTTTACGTGTGTGGGTCTCTGTATCTACTTACAATCATGCCATCAGGAAAGCTGATATGGGGAGGCGGGTTTTAGAAACCCTCTGTCCAGTGGGCGATACTAATAAGAAGAGTATTCGATTTTGGACTTGGATCATGCTCGGTCTAGGTTTGAGAAGTAATGCTGTTACAAGGTCTGAAGAATTTGATTACAGTCACTAATGTTTCCTTGGCATCTGATCAAATCCATTGACCATCGTCTCTTCATTATAAACCGAAGGTAGAACAAACCCTTCAAGTGCTATTGTTTCCTCACCAATAATCCGTGGTCACTTGTCTTTAACTTTTAAGTTGTATTCCATTTGAGTGAACTTCTTAGTTATTAGGAATGAACTTTTAGTGCTTATGAGAAGTGCCTTGGAGATGGATTGTTTTGAAATTAATTTACCATGTGAAACCCTAAGGTATGAATGGTGAATGAAGCCATACCTTATTTCAACTTTATATAGGCATGGTAAATTCCTGTGGATACAGTTAAATGTAGATATCCCTGTGGATACTGAGGCTGTAGAACAATTACAAGAAGGTTGTTTATGGCGCCAGGCAGGAGGATCCGGTACTGAAGTGTCAGGCATAGAGGATGTACGAGGGTCTTCAGAGAAGGTTCCTACCTGGCAGAGCTTATTTTCTTTGATTCATTTTTTTGCCAGATTAAGTTCCATTATCCTACAGTAGAAAATATTCTACTCCATGCTTTTAGTAGCTCAGGATTTCAGTTCTTAGGAGTTGGCAGCTTGGTGCTGCTCAACAATGGTATGATGAATTGGATAATCTTGCCTCTTTGATATCACCACCTGAATCAGAGTTTTTATTTATTTATGAAACCACCTGAATCAGAGTTGAATATTGAAGATGATAGTACAACTTCGGAAGTAGGATTTCAATATGGGAAAGTTTGCATCAATTGTGCTGTCAATAGGGTGGGCACGGTCGGCCCCATTTTGACTCAATACTAGTCCCGGGACATGTGAGGTTTGAAAGCAACAGAATCTCTGGCCATGGTTCAAATTTTGCCCTTACATCTTCATTCTTGGCATTGTGCAGGTTATTGTTTATGCGGCACTATACTTAAAACTTAGAAGAAAGAAAGAATTATTAGGGGTAATCAGGAGATATATGGAGCAAGGATACCAAATATTTTACACTCAAAGAAGTGGAAAGATAGGAAGAGATTCATGCATCCACTTCGTATTAAAATCAAACAGAGATTTGAGAGATCTCATCTCTATCAAACCTCTATATGTGAGGATAAAATTGGATTGCCCCGACTGAAAAAGGCAAAATATTTTATCTTAAGAGACTCCAAGGTTGAGGTTAATGTATTGCTTAACTTATAATATTCGGAGTTGCTAATATTTAAATAGTATAGCTGACCATTCTATTTAAATATTCAAATATATTTAAATAGTATAGTCGCGCGAGTATACATTTAAAAGATTTGAATATTTTAAAGATAAAGTCGCACGGCTTTACTTTTTACATATATTTGAATATAGATATTAAAGGATAGGAAATCACGATTTCAGTGTATTTATATGTAAATCCCAATTCCAATCCGAGAGGACAAAATACTAGGAGTCGCAGTTCGTGTTAAAGTCTAAAACTTCTAAGACATCTCAAACAACCCTCATCCGAACCCCTTTATGATGGTGCGGGTTGACTCAATAATATATGCCTATATTGTTTTTAAACCCAATATTTACCGACATTTTGCCACCACATGGAGGGATGGCTGTCCCACATTGGCGACTGCCGTTAGTACAATTCTTTGTCAAAATTTATGTCTCCTAAAAAATTTACCTATTCTGCTAAACCATTTGATTTTATGCCTTGTACCAGATGAAACTTGAAATTGGTCACCAAGAATCTCAATCCTTCACATGATGACCATTGTAACCAGCTACTATACTTTTGTTTTTTCAGCATTACAAGAAGTTGGTTGACATTAGCATATACATATACATATGTATAAGTTAACGGATATATTAACACTGAATAAAAAGAAAAATATTAAAATAGAGATACACTTGCAGCACCACTGAAGATATTCATTTGCTGATGAACAGCATGCCACGATCAGAGAGAAATTTGATCCCGTCTACACTACGCCGGTACCAATTTGGTTACTAGGCTTTAAAATGTTGAACTTGCACAGAGGGCAGGTAGCATTGATGTATAACCATTTGTCTATGCAGCTGCAGTGAAAATGATGATGGCAAGGAAGTCCGCGTAATTCTGCTCCATTGTCGTAGACAGAAAGACAGATGCAACATTCCTGCAATTTATAAAATTCATGTGATATGGGCAGTCTGTTAGAAGGCTTCTTTGCAGTGATGTACTGCGAAACCAGCACTTGCACGCATACTAGATATACAGACAAAAGATTGTATGGTTTCATCCTAAGACTTTCAAATGGTATGAATATTGGGAAATCTAAGAACTCCAAACCACCTAATCTTAGATTCATATCAGACCTTGGTTTTCATAAAAGAACTTGGAAAATGAAAGGGGGTTGTAAGGAAAGGAATGCTGACAAAAATCAAAAGATCAAAAGCTATGGTACTTGAGTTGCCAAAAATACATAACATCATACAAGTATAAAGCAGCTAGGAAAGGGATAGGACCATATTGAAAGGCACATGGAAACTTACAGCATCATCCTGGGAAATAACATGCTCAGTTGGTGCATGAGTGTTACATTCGGTCATTAATCCTTCAGAAGCTTGGGCCTCACCATTAAGTTTCTCAAAATTACCTGTCCTGCGAAATTTGAACTTTGGTAATCTATCAATTTCTTCATCTGTTGCCCCCTCCTGTTTTCATGCAGAAGTGATATGAAGTCAGGTAAGTCATATATTGACATATATGATTGAGTAGAAAGGGATTATTTCATAAGTGCAAGATAACCAAATTAAATCAAGAAGCCAAACAATTCTTTCATTCTTTTCCCCTTTCATAACCTACTACATCATACAAAGTAAAGAATCCTCTCAATTCATATGGATCCTCTCCATTCATATAGTGAATGGAAAGGATCGATTCTTCAATCGCAACTGTCACATGGAATGGGCCACCCTGAATTACGGTGGCACATATAAATCTAGAGCTTTGGCATAATCTTCAAGCCAACAATGTCAGCTACATGTAACTCAGTCATGGTGTTTTAGTGTTTCTTTTCAATCAAAGAAGATTTAACTATATAATAATCTTCTATCCAAAATCCAACAGAAAAATGCACCAGAAAATTCAATATTTTAACAAACTCTAAAAGGAGTTCTCATATGGTCGCCCATAAAATTCTAAGAAAGAACTCAAATTGCCAACAGCTTAAGAGAGTTCTTCAGCAATATACATTTACTTACAATAAAGATGCACAAATATTGTGAAAGTTAGGCTCTTCCTTCAGAATCAACATGCAAAACACAAATGCCTATTTGATACAGAATTGAACTCTTTCGATTCGAGGGACTCAAGCTGGTGCCAATTACATAAGGAAAGGGAGGAGAGATGAGAGGGATGAGAAGGTACAAAAGCTTTTTTGAATCCATTATAAATTTCAGCATGAGATAAAATGAGCCAGCAAAAGTTTGCACGTGTATCGCACTTAACAATATAAGAAATCAGAACATGCAAAACACAACTATGAACAACAAGCTATTAGCCTATTGCCACTTATCACAGTTTCTTATTCATATATTGCCATAATTTGAGCTTCATGTGCACGTATCAAGAGATTATTAAATTGCCTATTATTCCTAAATATGCTATATCAAGTTAACTCTTTCAACAAAATAACACTAAAAATTGCATACATTCCTTATGGTTGTCTACCTGATCTGTTACAGCATATAAGATTGCAATTATGCATGGCAGACAGCAGCAGACTGCAATTCCAACAAGACATGCAACAGCAACACATATAACGACGAAGAGCATATCAAAAGCTAGAAATGTAACACAAAGCCTGCAAAATAGAACCGCATGTGAGTAATTAAAACACACACACACACACACACATATTCAAGTCAATCACTCAGAAGAAACCACTTAAGAATAAACTCTATTCAATCCTAACCAGTATAGATGAGGTGAATCACATAGCAAAGTCTGGCCACCATCAGTCACCCAGTAGAATCCAATGACCCACCAAATAAATGAAAACATGGTATTGGCTGACTCCAGATGCTTTGTGACACTGTTGCAGTAAAAAAAAAAACATAGTTATATGTACTTTCATGGCATACAGCCACACAAAGATTAGCCACATGTAAGGATAATCACATTCAAAACAAATGGCAAACATAACTAACATTAACCAACTTATTGCATTTTACATTTTGCATTACAAATATGATGTGAAAAAAGGGTAACATCCCATGTGGGGATTCAATCAATGAGGCCCATTTCCATTACACATCACCATCTAGATTCATCCCACTTCAATTAACCACAAACGGACGGAACTTAAATAATAGGTCTGTCCTGCTCATTTTTACATATCTAAAAAAGGAAAAGAATTGCACTGAGAAATAAAAATTTCAAAGCTTGACAAATGTGCAACAATGGATGAACAGCATACCGATTCCAGAATACAAAAAACGCTTACTTACTCTGAGCTTTAGAAACCATGTTTTTTATGTCACATTTACTAGAACCACAGACAAAAATATTCATATCCATTCTATATAACATATACGCAAACTAAACATAAATACATACTTACAAACCAATTGAATATATATGCAAGATTTCCTTTTACCAGAAATGCAACATTTAAATCAATATCCACACATTTATACTATTAACATATATGAATTTATATTCCTAAGTCCTAAAAACAATCGAGAATAATATGCACAATTGCACAAGGAGCCTAAAAACAAAAGCAAAAAACTCTACCTTGTCTCATCATCAGCCATACCCTGCTCACTCCCATAATCTTCAACATCACTTCCAGACCCCAAACTGCCACTCCCACCACTTCCCCAACCTACCTCACCAAAACCCACCTCACGTCTCCTCCTATACTCCACAACCACACACCCAACATGGACAACACACTGCAAAATATACCCAACAACCCAAATCCTCAAAGGCACCACAGGCTTCTCCTCCATGCTCAACCCCATCACAGTGAACCCAACACACACAAAAGCCAAGTTCCACAGCAGGTCCAGAACTATGACGGGCTTCGAGTACGCCCAGTAGCTCTGGCGCTCTTCCAGCTCCTCCGCCGCGTTCTCTCGGACCCGAAACGAGGGCTCACGAAGCCTCATTCGGCGCCCGCTGGCGCGTCGAAGGAGTCGCGCAGCGCCGCGCAATGGTGGCGGGGCGTGGCGCACGAGCCGCCGGCTTCGGAGGAGGTCATCGGCCATTGAATAGCCGAGGAGTGGTGAAGTGTCCATGGCCTACTAGAAAATTCTTTTGAATTGGGTTTGATTTTCTGGGAATCGGGTTGTATTTGGATTTTGGGTTTGTGATTTTCGAATGCTCAGAGTGGAATTTATGTGGGTTGCTGTGATTCACTTGAACCAGAGATTTGAAGGTTGAAGATGAAGATGAAGCATTTTGGAGCTAAAATTGGGTTTTTGGAAATCAAATTGGGGGATGAATAGAAAATTTTGAAGGTTTAAATTGAAGCATTTGGGATGAGAGAGAAGATTTGAAAGGTGAGTGAGCTGGTGTAGAGTGGGAGCTTTCTGAATTTTGGGTTTGGGATTTTTCAGTGATTTGATGGGGAGTTTGGTTTGGGACTAAACTGCTTTTGTTTTTTTCTTGGTATTTTGAATTTGAAGTCTGTAAACTTCATTTTCACCAGAAGAAAGAGTTTGTGTACTTTGTGGTTTGATTCAAATTTCTCACTTTTCACATGGGAAATTGCAATTGTGGTTCTAATTGTTTGGCTTTGTGTGTTTGAAATTGAATTCAAATTCCCAAAGCAATATTTTTTTCTGGTAAATAAGATTTTATACAATGTTATTTTACCATTGTATTCATTACAAACAATAAGGTAAGGTTTACAATATTAACTCACGGTGCCTTTGGCGTTGTCATTGTTCAAAAAAAAAAAATTAAAAATTAACAGAGAGCGAATTTTAGACCTTCTATAATATTAAAATGAGACGTATCGTTAGATTAAAAATTAGTTAATAACAGTTCAAGCTTAGTATATTCGAATTTTCAACTACCTTCGTGTTTGATTGTCACTGAGTTTATCTTATATTTAAAGTGTTTAGGGTATATTCAAATGATAAATGCATATGAAAAAAGATGTCATAATTATGTTACATCTAAAGTTCGATTCTGATTAGTTTCTCTTTTTGCTTGATAAACTCATAGAAACAAGGGGATGTTGGGAACATAGTTTATGTTGGAAAGTGGAAACACTAGTGATTGTGGAGGATGAGTGAAATGAGAGTGGATGATGATGTATTTGTCGGAAGAAATTTTACGAATGCTTTTGAAAGCTGAAAGCTTCGGTTGGGATATTTTGACCCCCCCAAAAAAAAGTAAAAAGCTTCAGTTGGGATGGATGTACTACACCCACCCCGCGCCCACTGGCTCCTTCTGCTGGGCTCCCGCCACGTATCCGATGCAAAGTTGCCGCCGAATGTTTTTATTTCGCTGGCGTTATATTATCAGTGCTCATCTGTTCTGCACAATGTTTTTATAAAATAAAACGGAAAAAATATATATATATATAATATTTTAAAAAGTCAATTTTCATTTTCTTATAAATTTACTTTGCTGAGTTAAAACATTGTAAAACATTATTTATTTATATATTTATTTTATTATTTAAATAAAATAAAAACTGTTTCCTTATTTTAAGAGCATTTTCATCCATTTGTTATGACAAAGGCAGGGGTGACAATGATTGTTACTATTCACATAAATAGTGTCTGCCCTAGCATTTTTTTTTTAAGTTTTCTACTCATTGTCTTGACAATCCAAGAGCAACCATTATTCACATGAGATATGAGGAGATAAATTTATATATAGTTTTGGTGTGAGAAGTGAAGAATATGACTAGGTATTTATAAAAAATAAATATAAAATCTGCAAATTTTGGTCTTTTTTCCCCCTTTTTTTTTTTTGTTATTTAAATTGGATGCTGACATCACAATGACGTTAACTTGTCCAGGCAATAGTCCAAACAAGTCTTTTCTTTGGGCTTGTCCAGGTTGATGGAGCCCAACTCTTGCCCTAGCAAGACTTGGGCGCTCGAAACACATTTAGAGGCCTTAGGGGCCTCTTGCCCGAGTTGGGGCCTCCCAGTGAAAATGCTCTAAGAGCCCTGTTTCTCTTAGAAGAAAAACAAAACCTTTAGCTTTTTTTTTTTTTTTTCAGAAATACATTTGGCATGAGAATATCATAAAATTGGAAATTTTGTATGGACTATATAGAATCAAATGGGCCCATATTAAGTTTTCTTGGGCCAAATCAGATCAATATTCTTCCATTGTTTTAAATAGGCCTCTTATATAATAAGATAATGAGATGCTTATAGAATCCAAATAACGCTTCTTTCTGCAATTTGTCACTTGGGATGGTCTTGTTTTTTTGTCTGAACACTTGGGATGGTCTTGAGCTCAGCTGTATTTGTGAAATTTGGAAGCTTCATGATCTCTGTAATAGACAAGCACAAGCATTGAGAAGTTAAAACTGGCTATGAACAAATTAAATTCAAGAGTTTTGAATTTTTCCCACAAGGCTAATCAATTCAAGCACAAAGAGTTAGCCCATCTCATCCACAGCATTGTGGATTCAACCCAGTCTAAGTTCCAGGCGAATTTACTCCTGAATGATTTGTCCAAGTCTGGTCGACTCGATGAAGCCCGCCAGCTGTTCGATAAAATGCCGAGTAGGGATGAGTTTTCTTGGAACACCATGATAGCTGCTTATGCCAATTCAGGAAGGCTAAATGAAGCTAAACAACTATTTGATGCGACCCCAAGTAAAACTTCCATCACTTGGTCTTCACTCATATCTGGGTATTGTCGAAATGAGTGTGAAAGTGAAGCTTTTGTATTGTTTTGGCAAATGCAGCTTGAGGGACACGGGCCGAGCCAGTACACGTTGGGCAGTGTCCTAAGGTTGTGCTCAACTTTGGTTTTGCTCCAAAGTGGTGAACTTGTTCATGGGTATGTGATAAAGACCCAGTTTGACACTAATGCCTTTGTTGTCACGGGTCTGGTTGACATGTATGCAAAGTGCAAGCGCATTTCGGAAGCTGAATATCTCTTTGAGACTCTGCCAGACAGAAAAAATCACGTGCTGTGGACTGTTATGCTTACAGGGTACTCTCAAAATGGTGATGGTTTTAAGGCAATGAAGTGTTTTCGGGACATGCGAGCTGAAGGGGTTGAATCCAATCAGTTTACATTCCCTAGCATATTGACAGCTTCTGCCTCAATTTTGGCAAATAATTTCGGGGCTCAGGTGCATGGATGCATTGTTCAGAGTGGTTTTGGGGCAAATGTGTTTGTCCAAAGTGCATTGGTTGATATGTATGTGAAATGTGGAGATCATAATAGTGCAAAGAAGGCACTTAAAAGCATGGAGGTTGACGATGTCGTTTCTTGGAACTCCATGATTGTTGGGTGTGTAAGGCAAGGGTTTACAGAAGAAGCTTTGTCCTTGTTTAAAGAAATGCGTTCGAGAGAACTGAAGATTGATCACTTTACTTATCCATCTGTTCTAAACTCCCTTGCTGCACTGAAGGACATGAAAAATGCAATGGCGATTCATTGCCTGATTGTGAAGACTGGATTTGAGGTTTATCAACTTGTGGGCAACGCTCTTGTTGATATGTATGCTAAACAGGGAAATATAGATTGCGCACTTGAGGTGTTTAAGAATATGTCAGACAAGGATGTTATCTCATGGACCTCCCTGGTAACCGGCTATGCACGTAATGGCTCTCATGAAAAAGCACTTAGATTGTTCTGTGAGATGAGAACAGCAGGGATCTATCCAGACCAATTCGTAATTGCCAGCGTTTTGATTGCCTGTGCAGAGCTGACAGTTTTGGAGTTTGGGCAGCAAATTCATGCAAACTTTATTAAGTCCGGCCTTCAAGCATCCATATCAGTTGATAATTCATTTGTGACTATGTATGCAAAATGTGGGTGCATAGAAGACGCCAATAGAGTTTTTGACTCTATGCAAATTCAAAATGTGATTACTTGGACAGCTTTAATAGTTGGTTATGCCCAGAACGGTAGAGGAAAGGAGTCCCTAAAATTTTACGATCAAATGATTGCAACTGGCACACAACCGGACTTCATTACTTTTATTGGCTTATTATTTGCTTGTAGCCATGCTGGTCTTCTGGAAAAAGGTCAATACTACTTCGAATCGATGAATAGGGTTTATGGAATACAACCAGGTCCTGAGCACTATGCATGTATGATTGACCTCTTGGGGCGCTCAGGGAAGCTTAAGGAGGCTGAGGCATTAGTTAATCAAATGGTTGTGGAACCAGATGGGACTGTATGGAAGGCGCTACTTGCTGCATGCAGAGTACATGGGAACATAGAACTGGGAGAGAGGGCAGCAACAAACCTATTTAAAATGGAGCCTTTAAATGCTGTGCCTTATGTTCAGTTATCTAACATGTATTCTGCAGCTGCTAGATGGGAAGATGCTGCAAGAATCAGAAGATTGATGAAATCAAAGGGAATTCTTAAGGAGCCTGGATGCAGCTGGATTGAGATGAACAGCCAAGTGCATACATTTATGTCTGAAGATAGAAGCCATTCAAGGACAGCTGAAATTTATTCCAAAATCGATGAGATCATGATGTTGATCAAGGAAGCTGGATACGTCGCAGATATGAATTTCGCACTTCATGACATGGAAAAAGAGGGTAAGGAGCTTGGCCTAGCGTATCACAGTGAGAAGTTGGCTGTTGCTTTTGGGCTCCTCACCACACCACCAGGAGCAGCAATCCGAATTTTTAAGAATATCCGGGTTTGTGGAGATTGCCATAATGCAATGAAATATATATCAAAGGTTTTTCTCCGGCATATTATACTAAGGGATTCAAACTGTTTTCATCATTTCAAAGAAGGAAACTGTTCTTGTGACGACTATTGGTAGAAGGTTCATTAGTTAACATCAAATGGCTGGTTTGTCGTGCTCTTCTTGAAGACCGTCAAGTTGCACTTCAAAGGTTGAGACCATCAACTCCGTCTCTCTTTTTCTTTCCCTTCTTTGATATCTTTGGATTATGTAGATCTAGATGAGAAACCTAAAACTTAGATGTTTGATGCAGATGAAACTTGAAGCTGCTGAAAGCTGGATAAGCAATGGGCCCCAAACCTATGATAGTCAAGTGAACACTGACGTAAATGGTAATATATGAACTTTCCCATCTCATACTCTTATGTGATGTGTTTTCTGTAAGCGCGTAACTTATGCATCTACAAGTGTGGCTTGCAGACTGTAGGGAATTATGTTCGTCAGTCATGTATGAGAATTCGAACTCTCATGTACTGCATAAAGAGATCTCCTCCTCATCCAATTGTCTTAGATAATGCAAACCATTTTCTACCTCCATCAAATCAGCTCATCAGGATTCTGAATCACTACACCTTGAGTACAGGATTTCTTGAAAATACAGGATCAGAGATTCTAATAAGACTATGAACATGCGGAAATATATTGTTTGTTGTATGTAATATTCCATCCAGAAAGCGGAGCTCTTAACAATTTCGAATTCAAAAACCATTTTGTAGTTCTATGTCTATCTGAGATTTAAGCCTCTTCATAAACCTCTTACATCATAAGCCTCTTCAGAAATTCGCATACCTTGAAAGTGACTGGCAGCTGCTAATATCAAAGCTTAAAGAACCTCAATGTGACCTTCCTAGCAAGATCAGGCTAGTTTGGAAGAGCAAGCTGTGAAGGTAAATGCCCAGAAAAATCAGTTGCGGCCCAGCTGCAGAGCTGCAAATAGCCTTTGTTGATCTCTATTTTTGTGGTGCACTCAGGTAGGGAACGAAAAATATTTATTTGTTTCTCTAAATTCAATGACCTATAATATATAGAGGTAATCTGGCACTAAAATATCCGTATTATTTCAGTCCAGTTTTGACCATGAACGCATTCTTGATTGTCATGGTAGATTCGATTCAACCACGGTAATGTTTAACTTTGGTCGAAATTCATCCCAAATTAGGCAAAATTATTGCCTGGATGCAATCAGTGGTACGGAAAACTGAACACATCATTCAAATGTACAGGATTGCCTGTTATTTCACTTAAGGCCACTAAAAGGGCAAAAGCAAAAGATAAAAGAAGAAAGGCTTAATTATGTACATGCCCCCTGTGCTTTCCAACTTATCTCAGATTACCACATGTGGTGGAAAACGTCTCAAAGTACCCCCCAACGTGCAAAAAACTGTCTCACGTTACCCTTTCCGTCAGTTTTTTTGAAGTTCCGTTACGAATGTTACTGTTCATCTCCCCCAAAATTCCAGAACAGTAGCCCCTCCCCTTTGTTACTGTTCATCGCTTATTTACCCTCCAAAACTCAGAAATTTCTCCTAACCAACACAACTAGCAGCAAGAACAACTCGAGAGGTTGAAAAATCATACCTGGATCGAAGAAAATGGTGCTCGGAATCGCCCGAACGAGCAATGGAGATTTTGGGTAAAAACCGGCCAATTTCTTGCTTTTTTCGGTGATCCAGACGACGGTTGGCAGCGGCTGAGATGTGAGGGTGGTAGAGGACAACGTGCTGGTTCTTTTGATATCCATGTCGTCGCTTGGGGTGGCCGGAGGAGGCGATGGCAGCCCAAAAACTGGTGCGATGAACAGTAACAAATGGGAGGAGCTGCTGTTCTGGAATTTTGGGGGAGATGAACAGTAACGTTCGTAACGGAACTTCAAAAAAACTGACGGAAAGGGTAACGTGAGACAGTTTTTTGCACGTTGGGGGGTACTTTGAGACGTTTTCCACCACAGGTGGTAATCTGAGATAAGTTGGAAAGCACAGGGAGCATGTACATAATTAAGCCTTAAAAAAATCAAGAAAATCAAAATTGAATGAAGACCGAAGAAAAGAAAAGGAATTATAATCTTTTGCACAGGAGCATCCGAGGGCATGTACATAATTAAGCCAAGAAGAAATTGGGGAATCAACTCGAATATTTGAATTTCTCTGTAAATAGTGGGGAACAGTATACAATGAGAACCTAATTTTATCTAAATGATCCCATTTAAGTTAGTCTCCACAATATTCTTAGAACACTATATATGACAACATGATTAACATATACGTAAGAACTCATCTTTCAGTCGAGGCATACAACATTACATTGTAAAAAATTTAATCTTGGAATCTCTGTGCCAAGCAGTCCCACTCCACCCCCACCTGAAAATTCCACCCGCAAGATCCATTTGTACGAACAGCCTGCCAGAAACTTATCTCCGATGCATAGTTCTGCCATGACTGATCTGAAAGGAACAAGAGACAGCAGACCCTTTGGGTGCAAGGCAGCATGGCTCATGTGAGCATCCAAGCAATCAAAACTGCATTTACATCGTGTACATTTATGACCCCCTCAGTTTCAATAATTAATTCCTAGCATGCTCAGGGATTAGACGATGTCGGAGTTCAGTGGAAGCGCCCGCCAACTCTGCACGCATTAGACATCAAGATTAACACAACAACTAACAAAGAAAAAAGTAAATAAAAACAAGGCCATAGAATAGTGCAAAATCTTACCTTGAGCCGTGAAATCGAACAAAGGAGGTAATGCTCGTCCATTGGGCAAGCTTACATTTGGGTCTCTCAAATCATCAAAGAAGGGGTGAGCACATGCCTCCAACTACAAACCAGGAAAGAATTTAGTATTATACTTTAACCATTCACAAGTTCCAACAAAAAATTTATCAAGAGCAATTTTATTTTCTTACAGCTGTGCAACGTAGATTTGGTGAGTACTGGAGCAGCCTTGACACAAGATCCACTGCTTCAGGGGGCATTCGCTTGTGAAATATCTGAAGATTACAAGCACATTAAGATTTTCTGCTGACACAAATATAGATCCGATAATCCAATTCATGAAGAGCTGATAATAAATACTCAAAAATTAAAATACTGAACAGACCTTGTGCCATGGGTGAGCTTTGATCTGAGGGAACTTAAACTCAGTGTAATTCGGATTCATGCACTTTATTTCTTCTCTGGTTGGTGTCCCAAGAATCTAGTATGATACCCAAAAGAGAAAATCAGAATGCAAAATAGCAAAAGTACCACCATAACAAGCAAAAAGTGGATACATCTACCATACCTTTATAATCTCCACCAGCTGATCAACACCACTCTCCCCGGGAAACAGTGGCTGCAATGATACCAAAAATAGCCATGAGTTACTAGAAAATATAAATAAGGAAAGAAATCTGACATGCTATACACATACCTGTCCAAGAAGAAGCTCAGCAAATACGCAACCAACAGACCACATATCAATTGCAGTGGTATATTCTGTAGCCCCAAATATAAGTTCTGGAGCCCTATAATATCGTGAACAAATGTATGATATGTTGGATTCACCTGGCACCTAAAAATGAGAAAATAAAAGAATTCATAAGTTCCAAGACCTTCATGAATTCCAAGATATCATCAAAGCACTGTGACCTCCAGATTCACAAACTACGAAACATACCAACATCTTTGCACTCCCAAAATCACATATCTTTAGCTGATGCGTGTGGGGATTCACCTGCAATATACATCACAACCTCAACCTCAGTATGATGACAGAAGATACAATCTCATATCAATTTGAAATCAAAACATAGTAAACATATCAAAGGGCTGACATGCAGGCTTTAGTCTTTATTTAAATAATTGAAACTATCAAAACTTAGTGCTCATATCTTATGCAAAGTCAACCACCACCCTTATAGTGTGGTGGTATCCATCCCTTCTGTTAAATAAAAGGTCTTGGTTTGGTCGCCAAATGGAGTGGGTAATTAAACCCCAATATAATTGTTGTCAATTTTATCTATATAAGTAAAGTCAGACTGCTGTGATTGAGAAAACTTATTCTGGTTCATTACATGATCAACACTAAAATCAAACTGATAAAAGTTAAAAGAAAATCTTACCAGCAAATTTTGTGGCTTAATGTCACGATGACACACACCAATAACATGGTGTAAATAATTTAATGCGCGACAAATCTACAAAAGATAAAACAACAGAATTTATTATCCAGAATAGGCATTGTAAATGACAAACCACTAAAGAAAAGGCAGGAAATAAAAATCAGCAGCAGGATTCCAAAATCACCTGGTATGTATACAACTGCACATAAATAATGGGAATATGTTGGTTCATCCTGATATAATGCTTTGAAACTCGGTAAACAGTTTCAGATATATACTCGAGGACAAGGTTAAGGTACAGCTCATCTTTGTCAGTAGTTGAAAAGAAGCAATGCTTCAACTGGACAACGTTAGGATGGTCAAGTAAACGCATAATTTGAAGTTCTCTATTTTTATATCTTTTATCCTGCAGCACCTTTTTTATTGCAACTGCGTCACTTGTTTCCAGACATTTAGCCTGCAGCATACAGTACAGTGAGCAAGGGGAAAAAATTGACGTCGAAATCTGTATCAGTGGAAAAGGAACCAACAAAACCTAAATAGTGAGCAAATCCAAATAATCTCATGTACCTGAAAGACAACTCCAAATGAACCAGTGCCAACTACACGCTCTGCCATATATGAAATTGTCTGTAACCAAATAAGAAAACTGATTAAAATATTATGAACAATTTATCTCAAATATAATACATCATGTACGTATAGAGTGTAAATCAACCAAAGGCTCCAGCAGAAAAAGAGATCATACACAGAGAAGTTAAAAATCATTGAACATAAAGACTTTCTAGTTTGGTATTACTAAGTATTCAAGACAATGAAATTAAGAGACAACTTGAGAAATGCAGAAGCACAAAGCAGATAAATGAAATCACCTGTTTAGGTTGTCCATTCCGGCCTCCTACTGTTGTTGCAATTATATGACCAGTTTCTGTTCCATTACCATTTATAACAGTTTCTTCCATATCCTGCGCAGGGAAAATTTGCAACCATTTACTCGGTAACTGGTATTTGCTTGTTAAGACTTTGCTTTTTTACATTTAAAAAATAGCAGAGTGATAATATATACACATATCTGAAGGAAAAAATTACACGAAAAGAATTAACAACAAAAGTTACCTTTTCATCATGGTTGTTGGCCTTCTCATCTCTAATTTTCATTTCATTCATTTCTTTGGGAAGCTGATCATAACTTGACTTTTCTTCTTTGGCCTCTGTCTTAGCTATTGAAGATACATCAGATGTGCTTGCAACAGTTTCCAGTGATGTTGGAACAGTATGCTGCTCGAGACTGGTGGCACTTTTCTCAACAGTATTTGACTGTTTATTAGCCTTCTTCTCAGTTTCTTGGTCAACCTTTGCTCTCTTTGTAATAGAATCCACGCCCTGGAAATAAAAAATGAAATTAGCTATAAATGATCAACAAATAAAAAGGTTGTGCAAAATATCTTAAACAATGACAAAAATAACCCACATAGCCTTCATTATCTCCTATTAAAAGAAACCCAAACGTACAGATCTAAAATGGCATTTTAACTCATTGCTGTAAACAACCACACCAGTCATGAGCTAGTAGCACATATTCTTGTAACTTTATACACACAAACACATATTTAACATTCACACACATAATGGTATTTTAACTCATTGCTGTAAACAACCACGCCAGTCATGAGCTAGTAGCACATATTCTTGTAATTTTATACACACAAACACATATTAAACATTCACACACAAAGTTGGCATTGCATGTAAACCATAAAAGAACCAAAAACAGTCATTTGATGTATCAGCAATCCCAACAAAGGCTGCTCTTGTTACGTAAACTAACATTTTAAAACATCATTATCTGTGGTGACATAAAACTTTCTTTTCTCACAAGTAATTGCAATTGCAATGCATCATGAAAATACTAGACCAATCAAAAGTAGGAACAACTTAGTCTTGGGCAACATTGATCAGCTACCCACGCATAAAACGTAACAGCACAACAATTAAAATCCCATTTCGGCTCGGAACAGATACGTAAATACGATTGAAAATCCATAATTACCACCCCACCCCCCACCCAATAAAAATGGAATAATACATACATACTAATCTAATAAAACCATATGGTCCTTCAAATCCATACACGAAAAAACCGAACTTTTTCTAATATGCACAGAAAATAGGGGAGAAAAATCATCAAAATGCTCAGATTTGCTAGTGGAAGAAAATCTAACATCTCCGTCTGAAATAGAAACAAAAAATGAATACATACACGTACCCCAAAAGAATATAATTATATATTAAAATATCCACTACATAAATCCAAATCATAAAAGTAAAAAATAAAATAAAAATCATCAACTGTATTTTGAATATCCAGATGCGAGCTTCTGAAATTTCAAATATCAGAAACCCAAAGCGCCATAAATCACGACATATAACTTTTGCTTTATTTTGATCCATTTTCTGAGCTAGCTAAACAAGCTCTAACGCTCTAAGCCAACAACATATGAACAAATATAAATATAAATCACACTTACAGGCTCCGATGAAACAGAGGTCCGACCCGAGGCAATGCTCTTAAGCCTTCGCATCATATTCATCTTCGTTTCTTCTATTTGATTCAACCAAACCCTAAATTCCTCCCAGAAAATGAGAAAAATCACAGAAGAGAGAGAAAGAATGCCAAGCTTTCTCTCTCCTCCTCCTCCTCGTCTCTCTGTTTCTCTCTCTCCCTTTGATTCAAAACCAGAAACCACAGAGCCCCAAAAGAATCAAAGGAAAAGAAAGAAGAAAACCCACAGCCTCCCTTTCTCTTTCTCTCCCCCGCTCTCTCTCTTTAAGATTTTTCAGGATTTCTCTCACTAAAATTGAATTTGTATTTTTCTCTCTCTAGAATTTATCTCTGTCTGTTAGCTGTTTTTTTTCTTTTTCTCTTTTTTTTTTTTTTTTTTTGGGTTCCCCCGGTAAAAATTGGACCAAAGAAAACAATTCTTTCCACCCTTACCC